TTTTCCAACCTAGATGATTCTATGATTCTATGATTCTATTAGCAAGGAGGCACATGGAAACATTATGCATGGATTTTTTTTCTTCTCATTAAAAATGAATCAAATTAAATTAGTCTTAGGGTGTTGTTTTTTTTTTTCAGAATGATACCTCATAACTGTTTATCTGATGTGGTAAACCCTATGAATTAATGCATTACTGTAGTATCATCAGTATGTCCCAAATAACCGTATTTGTGATAGAGAAGACTGCTTCAATATGGCTTTCTCTCAAGCAGTGTCTAACATTTTGGGAGGAAACTAAATTTGTCTGAAAAAGAAAGTTAGTGTTTTCTCTTAAAATATTCATAACAGCATTCAGTTTGTAAGTGCACCTTTTATTTTCATTGGAAGATATTTACAGCCTTTAGAAAGGGTTTGATCCTTTCTTTTCCCTCCCCATGTACTCATGAATTGGAGGTGGACTGATATTTTGGAGTAACTTTGTCAATAGCCTGATAAAATTACATTAGCATGTATTTTTTCAATTAAATATCCTGGAACTTTAAGGTGAAACTTTTTTTTTGACTCTCAAGAAATAATGTTTATGAAGCTTGCAGTTCACCTGATTTTACACAGAAGTATTAAGATTCAAAGTGAAATTGTTCAGCTTTCATTCTCTTTCTTAATATTTGTTTTTTTTATTTCATATTCACAGTTAATCATGAGGGTATAGATAACCTATGTTGGAGAGAACCACTTACACCATTATGCTTTCTCCATTCTTATCTTTCAGAAGCACTGTTCGGCTCCGATAAGACCCTCCCTTTCTCCAAGGAGACAGTTTCAGCTACTTGTTAACTCTGAAATTTTAGCTATACTTGGTCTTATACTTGGCAATTACACCACCCTGTTAGCAAACATGCATTAGGTGCATGCATGTTGGTCACTCTTGGCTTTGTTAAACTGGCAGAGGAATGCCTCCGTGTAAGCAGTTTTCACATTTGCAGCTGCATGTAACAGATTGTTATGACCAGTGGCTGTGAAGGGGCTGGTGTGTCACTGTCTGCATGGCAAACTGTCCTTCATGGGCATTCAAACAGTTGTAACTGTTTTCATGTGTGTTGCTGAAGGACAAATAAACTCCTTATTAGGAATTTTTATTTCTGTTTTGCTCACTGTGTATGCCAGTATAGCTTGCAAGAGTTAGGTACTCCAACATACTTTCAGAAAAACAAGGTTTAGAAACATGAGTTTCTCCAGAAGGAGAATCCTAAGCCTCTTGATTGGTTGAATCATTAGTATGCAAACCTGCAATTTGACTTACTGCAGTAAATATTAAAACTGTTGTGTGTTCTGCTAAGTGGCTAACTTGCATATACATGGTGTGGAGAGTCAAGTTGAAAGGCATTCATGCTACAAGTCATATGGCTTATCTCATGTTTTCTCATCAATGTTGCTATTATGAATAGAGCAGGTAGTATTAGATGTCTAAGGATATCTCCCATATAATTTCAAACTTGATTAGCCCTTGGAATTGTCCTGTGGTAGACTGTTCTGAGTCCATAAGCAGAATCATTTTTGCCCCGAAGCACACTGATCTCCTGGCCATATACATTATTTGTTTCGGTCTATTCCAGCCAGTGCCCAGGTTAACCATAAGAGGTTTAGCTGCTGTTCTTTCCTCCTGCATTCTCTTTGAAGCAGAAAATAACTAGAGAGAGAACAGAGGGTCTGTCAGGAATGCTTCCTGATCTTGAAAAAGTAGCTTTGGGTATCAAGGAAACAGGATGCTGATCTAGCATAACGAAGAGTGTGTGGCAAATAAAGCACATAGCAAACTCGTACAGGTAGGCCTGCATTTTAATCCTGGGCAGAATACTTAGATTGCTACAATTTTGGGCAATTTGGCAATTTCTGTGTAAGGACGTGGACTGTATTGGAATTTGGAAAGCCTTGTCCTATACCTTGAGGACTTAAATGTAAGAATTTGTCCAGGTTGACTCGACCTTGCTCAGTCAAACTTTGAGAGCCTCCAAGGTTGGAGGTTCTGCAGCCTCCCTAGGAAGCCTGTTCCAGTCCTTAACCATCAATAGCATCAACCCTTTGAGCCCAGTGGTCCAGCTGCTTTTTCAGCCTTGTTCTTTATGCGTTTGATACATAACTGATTTGATTGCAAGGCTACTATAGGATAGCATCAAAAACCTTGGTGAAACACAGATAAATAGCATCCACTGCTACCTGCCCAAAAATACAATAATTTTATTACAAAGAAACATTCTGTACTGAAAACCACAGACCAGTATGATGCATAGAAAACTGCATCTGTCTTTCACAAATGAAAGACCTTGCTTTCCAGGTATTTCTAACACTGTGTCAAAAACTAATAAAGTTCTGTGTTTAAGAATGAAAGTTCAACGTGGAATGAGGTAGAAAGTAGCTTCTAAAATGATCAGGAGAACAAAGAGCTGGGGTAGGGGCTGGGGGGAAGGGAGGAAAATAACTGGTTTATCTAGCTTGGTGAAATAGAATAGAGGATTAATATGACTACAAGGAAGGAAAATGAAGACATCTTGATGGAAGAGGAAACAGCATAAGCAGACTATGAATTAAACCAGGTTATAAACCAGAATAAACTTCTAACTAATGATACTACTAACATTTCAAAACAACCCTCTCAGACCTTGCAGGGACAAAATGCTAGCTGTTTTCAAGATGTATTTCAATCACTTCTTTCATGAAGCTGTAGAAGGTTGCTGCCAGGAGGCTTAGACAGACATGACTTCGCGATTAAACGAGCTACAGAATCCTGAAGCACATAATCTTGTCCACTGCAAAGCAAAAATAAAGCATGTTGACCTAAACTGTAAGCATTTTATAGAAGGTCAAGTACTGTAGCTGAACTGTTGAGGTATCTTAATGTACTCATTGAAAGCCAACTTCAGTGATGAGTGGATAACTGAGTTTGTTTTGTGGTTTACTTACAGAATATAGTATGGGCTGTATACTTAAAATAAGCACTGGGTTTGAGAGGGTGGATTCCTTGCCCTTAATTTTCCTGTTGATAGTTTGACATTCTGTGATGTGCTTTTTATGACGTTTGTCATTGCATGCCAATGGTCTGCCAGTATGCAGGCTTTTGTTCACAAAACAGCTGTAAAGATGTAATGTGGTGGTGTGCAATAGGTTCACGATGCCAAGGAGCTATTATTGTGTACATACTTGGATAAATATTCATGTTTCAGGTAAGAAATCTATCAGAATACCTTGTGCACCTGTTCTGAGGATGCAGGCATCCCCTGACTTATGAAAAGGTGTGTCAGATCTTGATCACTGAGCAAAAGGGTTGATAAGCAGTTCCCAGGTACAGGCTGTTTAGATAGAGTATGTGTTTGACAAGTCAAAGGCAAGATGATATTGCCTATAAAATTATGTACATTCCAGTATGTGAAAGGGCAAATATATAATGGTGTCAGGGAGGAGGAGTTGTTGGGTTTGGTTTTGGGGTTTTTTTTTTGGTTTGGGGTTTTTGGGGTTGGTTTTTTTTTTTTTCAGGAATCTCCTTAAGTAACCACAAATTTGTGGCCCGTTGTAAGTTAACTACTGCCTCTCATGTGTTAGGGGCTGAGCTTAAAGAAGCAACAAGGCTAAAAGGTCCTCACATTATTGTTTTTCAGATTACGTTTATAAGGTGCTGGGGTGAACAATGTAATCTACAATGACGTGTCATAGCAAATAAAAGGATAAAACTACACTATTACTTACACGCTTGAGTGGAATATTGTTAAAGCTTTGCATATAGCTACTTGACTCTGGGAATGCACAAACCAATACAATTTACAACAATTTTCTTGATTTTTTTTTTTTTTTTAAGAGAACAGTAGAAAATGGTGGAAATAAACTGAGTGCTAATAATTACTGATTATTCAGTAATAAAACTGGATGTCACAAGTATTCCTTTTTCTTGCCTTGCAGTTGCATGGGGTAGAGTGAACCATCGCTGCTCAAGAGCCAGTCATGCATGACTGTGGGCTCTGTACTCAGGACAGTGGCGAGTATCTGGCCAAACTCCTTGTAGTAGGGGCAGGTAGATGGGGAGCTGCTGGACTTGTGGTTATCTTCCTTTGCACTGTGGTAGGCTCTAGAAGTTTTTAATACACTCTTACTACATGGGGCATCCATTTAATCTCTCCACCAGCTGTTTTAAGATGCTTTCATAAAAATGATGATTTTGAGTCATTCTCAAAATCACATTATTTGCTGTAGTTACATCAAAATGACTGTTGTAGTCCTTTAGCCAGCTTGTTGCACCAGAGCAGCATGTTCTAGAGCTTTCTGACTGTACACCTCCTGCCAAAGTGGAGGTGCCATTTGGAGTGAATGTGTTAACGGATGAGCAGCTGCTGAAGCTTTGGAGGTGAATAGAATGTACAGGATAAAGATATTGTGGGGTGGTATTGGGGAGTTTGTTAAACTTTAGTCTTGCCACCTTGTCCTTAACTGTATCTTCACTGCCAGATAAAAGAGTCAGAACCTACTGAGAAGCCTGAGGTTTGCTTCTGTTCTTTATCCAGGAAAGCAAACCAGGTTCACAGGACTCATTAATCTGGGTGTAGAGTGTTTGAGAGTACTTTGGGCTGAAGAGTTTGTGTTAAGGCATGCAACTCAGATTGACTTCTAATTTAGCATCCTGATACTGGTAACTTTATGCGCTCCTGTATCACTTCTATATTCATCCTAGAGCAGTGAGATATATCTGACTGCTAGTGCCATTAGCGTTTAATTTGTAATTTTGCTGTGTCTACTCATATGTCTAAAATCACCTACATGCACATTGTCCTTGCAGAAACAAACATCTTTTAGCACTTCTTGTTTGTTTGTTATCATTGCACTTTTTCCCTTCATTACTCTCCTCCACTTTTTTTCTTTCTTACCTTTTTACTTTTCTTCAACTGTCAGTGGAATTATTGTCTTCCTGTCTCCATATTCAGGTAGTGTCAGTGGCTGAGTATCACCGCAGGATCGATGCTCTAAATAGTGAAGAACTGCGCACACTCTGCAGACGTCTCCAGGTGCCCTCTTCAGTAGTTTAAATCCCATCTCCAGATACCAAAACATCTTTCTTTGTAGTGTCTTTGATCAGGGCAAGTCCCACACTCAGTGGGTTTGTCTTATCTACAGCACTACGAGGATCCAGCAGAAAATTCCTTTGTTTTGGATGTATTTAATTGTGCAATGCTATGATGGAATTAGTAATTTTATGATGGAATTATTACTTCCAACTTTTTCAAACAGGAATTTTCTGTCAGAATTTGAAAGTTTGTTCTCAGTACTGCTTGACTCAAGAGTGATGTGTTTTAACTTCCACTTTAGACAGGTGTGTTGTGTTAGATAGAAGCTTTCCTAAAAAGAATGCAAACCAGGTGAAGAATCCAAAACCTTGTTGCATGGGTATTTAATTTTATATAGGAATCTTTCATCAAGAATCTCACAGTACTTGGCAAGTATGAAGCTTCACAACTTCTGTGGAATAGGTAAGTATTTTTTCCATTATGCAAGCAGGTAACTGAGGCAGTTTGACATGGCAGAGGTCATACACGTGGAGCTGGTAATGGAACTGTCTGTTTCAAAAACAGTACTTCAGTTTGAATTTTTGACAGTTTACTGATATGGACTTAAACTGATATTTGCATTCTCTTTAGGTGTTTCTTAGTTCTTTGGGACTATGAAATTGTTAGCTGCTGTGTACATCATGCATAACTTACTGATGGAAAGCATAGCTTAGAACTCCTTAGAAGCATTGAGTATTTTGTTTCCCTGTAGTAATTGGTTGCTGAACTGTAAAAAGTTTTTGGTTCTGGTTCTTTTGTTTGTGGGTTTTTTTTTTTTTATTTTAATCGTGCCTTTTTCCACCTATTATGTAATTACATATAAGAAAACTTTTTCGTAGGGCTTTTATTTCTGTTTGTTTAATAATCAGTAATTAATTGATTTAAAATGTTTTGTAGGCAGTATGGTTGCATAAATCAATAATGAGTGTGAACCCCAAAGCTGCAGTTCTATTTCTATGGGAAAACCAGAAATTTTGCCAAAAAAAAAAAAAAATCATTCCCACTTTAGAACAAAACAGTTCTGTTTCTGGCAAGTGGTGGTGGAAAATCCTTATATTAATATCCTGGAAGTGCAAGAGCTCTTTCCAAATACCTTTCACCTGGAATGCCCAAAGTCAGGGTTTAGGCTGACTTGAAAAATCTGATGTGATGGGCTGGAGCCTATAAACTCTCTGCTGTGAGGCTATTTAAGTATTTGTGGTATAGACTGCATGGCTGTCACTAACCTTGGACGCCCCTGGAATCTGACTACAGGTCAAAGTTTAGTGGGAAATAAATTTGCAAGTTTTGAAACTGTGTTCTGTCAAATGGATACCTTTGAACAGACACGTGTCTTTGTCCACTTCTACAAAGCAGTGTTCTTCCTAGAAGAAAGTTGCTTTACTGTAATAATAATAATGATGAAAAATGGAGAAAAATCCAACAAAAACCACACAAACCCCACCCCCCACCACTTCAATCCAAATTACTCATGTTTTGCATGATGCAATCTAATCACAATTAAAGAATAACAAAGGAAATAAGCTTTCTGCTGTACACTTGAACAGTGCTGAAATTTTATGGAGTTGAAGTAGTCTGTGATGTACAAAAGGCATTTGAGGTGGAAAAGAGTTGGACTACCAAATAACATGTTTTACAGATAGCACTCTGTAATGGTAGGTCATCTTTTTGTACATGAAGCTGTATGGAAAACTGCATATACTTTTTTGTTGTGATATGGAAATTAGTGCATAGCTTACATTGGAAATGCTTGTTACTTTCCATTGAAAAATGGAAGGCTTGAGCTTTTTGCTTGCTTGATAGTCACTTTCTTTAAGTGCACCTTTTCTTAAGAATTAATATTGTAATTAAGTTATGGTATGAATATACTTTATTTCAACTTTATAGGCCTATTTTTTTAAGTAACAGGAGTTTGTGATAGTAACTTTTTTCATAGTTCTTGAGGGAGAGGAGAGGGATACCTTTTTTTTCCTCAGGTGTCTGTATTTGTTTAAATAGCTTTATCTGTATTTCAGAATTTTCTTTGATTTGGCTTTTCTTTTGTTAACTAAGAAAGCTCTCTTCACAAAAGCTTGGCAAAGTTTATCATGGTGGTATGTGAAATACCATACTTGTGTTCTGTATGTTTAGAGTATGAGGCATGTGGCAAACACTGGTGGTTGTTCTGGAGTTGGCAGGTGGTTTTGGCAGGTATTTTCTTGAAATTCTCAGGATTCAGGCTTTAAACAATTTGGACAGTCTGACTTTCAGTGAAACTTGGTTCAGGCTGATAAATTATTCAGATGCACTCATTCTTGTTAAGATTTTTTTTTTTTTAGTAAATCTCTCAACATTTTAATGAGTTTTTCTGCAGTGGCTTAAGTTACTGACTTCCTTCACTTTGTCATACTTTGTCAGATTTCACTATCCCCACAGCAAGTATTAACTATCCCTGCCGTAAGATTTGTAAAAGAAAGCATGTTTGGGTCTCAGCTAGTCTAGTTCTCAACACATAGCACTTCAGCTTGAAAGTGCCAGTGAATATGGACTGGGGTAAAAAGCTGTCATAAACTATGATATCTGATGAGGAGTATTGTGGCCTTCTGCTGCGTCCACTAAATGGTGATCTACAGCAGCTCAGTAGGGTGGGTGTATGGGACAGTTAGTTTAAACTACTACAGGATCTTCGTGCATAGTGCCAGACGCCAAAGCTCACTATGCACCATAAGTATTAATGCTGCTTTCTGCTCCCCATCCTCTTAATCCTTTCTTCTTCAATTCCCATAAGTACTCCAGCAGATCAGTTTATGGAGCAGCAGTATTCCTAGGGCTTCATTCAGATGCTTTACTCAAAATACTTGACAGCAGTTTTTCCACATGTCTATTACATATCTGAAAACTTTTGCAAGTACTCTAATTTTAGAGTATTGATTCAGAAACTACTGAGAAATGTCCATGTTGAAGTTTCAATTCCTTTTCCATCTGGGTTTTTTAATTACATTTAATGTAAATGCTATGTTAGTATTAAAATGCAAGCACTTTGTAAGCTGGCCTCTGAAAAACATTTGAAGTCCTTCAGCTGTGTATGAGAACTCTCTCTTTTTTTTTTCTTCTTTTTTTAAACCATAAAACCATAGCTTACTTCTGAGTAGGTGCCTGTGTAATTTATTCTTAGTATATAGTCGAGTACCGGCTTGCTAGCGGAAGCAGTGGAAATCTTGGTCAGATCAAATCTAATGGACGACTTAACTCTGAAGGAGTTGTGTAACTGTAAATCAGTCAACTGCATGATCTTAAACTTGCAGAGTTTCTCTTCCCTGCTAACAGAATTGTGAATACTCATTTTCTTGTTCTTTTTGTAGATAACAACAAGAGAAGATATCAATTCAAAACAGGCAACAGATATCAAAACAGACCTGGAGCCTGAAGCATTCCGGCCAAATCTTAGCGATCCCAGTGAACTACTACAGCCAGAACAAATTGAAAAGGTATTAACTTATATACGTCACTTTTTAGTATTTTATGTTAATATATTACAAATGCTATGACCATAGTGTAAAACATACCAGTAGGAAGGCCTTGTGTGGTACTAAATGCATGAGCACAACATAATTCGTAGCTAAAATGTTGCGCTTTTTTCTTATCATAACTTTCAATATACCATGACCACACTAGTCTGTGTGCCTTTATTTCATTCTTCCCTGAAAACAGCTTGGCTTTCACTGCAGTTCATTCCAAAGTCATCTCATTAAATGTGTTGATTGAAGGTTTGGATCAAGGCTGATTGTGTTCAAAGGCACAGAAACAGAAGAACAAGCATCCTTTACTCTCCAGCTTGTTACCTGTTGACTTGAGTATTCTAGTTCCCCAGTACTGAGGCATAGTATTGTTTATGCAAGAATAACTACGTGGTTTTACTGTCTTTAGATAAACCTTTTAGAGACCTCACCAAACACATGTTCTTCAGTTGCTAAATCATTCTTCTGCAGATCACTGGTAGAGGTAGGAAAAGAAACCTGCTTGAGAGACCAGGGATAGAAAACTTAGATGTGAAACTTTAGAGTTGGTCTGAAGTTTTAAACTAGCTTTTATAGGGCCACTTGTAGTAGTTCAGAAGAACATAATCAGCTTTCATTTATATGTAATATTTTTTTTTTTTTAAATAAGAGTTGTCATTATCTTGGTAACAGCTCACAAAGTCTCTTCCACCACGGACCATTGGATATCCATGGACTCTTGTATACAGTACTGCAAAGCATGGCATGAGCTTGAAGACTTTGTATCGAACTATGCTGGGATTAGACACACCTGTGCTGTTGGTTATCAAGGACAGTGATGGACAGGTAAGAAAATATTTGCGTGGAGGTAGGGGACCCATCAAGAAAAATGCTTGAGGAGTATAAAGGCGTAGCTGACATGTCAGTCCATCATGGAAGACAAAATTGTGTGCATCAAGCTGATTTTCTCCTTGATAGTTACGTAGAGGCTTTTAAAAACATATTTCACTGTCAAGGAATCCTCTGACCTACTACATATCTACTTTAATGATACAAGTTCGTTGTCAAAATGCATGAGTCTTATAATACCCAATAACTGAATTTACTTTTACTATTCTTTTTTTAATGCACCTAAAGCACAAGAAGTATAGTCTCTAAAACTTTCTGGTGTCAGAAGATCTTGTTGAGTTGGAATGTCACTACCAGCTGCGGCCAGTGCTGCTTGGTACGTTCTGTGGCTGCAGCCAGCATCTTTTTCCCATTCAGGGGCTGCAGGGTCTTTGCTGCATAATGAATTTTTGTTCATTGAGTCTCTGTAGTTGTGCCCTATTCCCCTTTGACTGTGGTATGAATTCCAGAAAGTGGATCACATCTCACCATTTGAATAGCAAACGTCATCTCTTGAGTGTTCTGATAATAAGTGAACGTTACAGGCAGCATGAGACTTTGATTCATTCTTTGTGAAACTTCTGTGCTCTCTTGTGGAAGCAAGTTACTGCTGTCATGAAGAATTAACAGAACCACTGCAAAGTCTGTGGTGTTTTCTTCACTTACCTGTCCCGCTTTGGTAATCACTGTTTTGTTTTCAGGAAGCATGGGCTCATATTATTCAAGGGGTCTGAAAACTGTAGATGAAGGGTACGTTTTCTAATTCAAGTCACAACTTGTTTGTTCCTTCTGTTTCCTGCCTCAGGGATCCCTTAAGAAGAAAATTCCCTCCTAAATCTCTGCTACTAGAGCACTCTCTTTCCCAGAAGTTTTTCAAAAGGGAACTTTTCTTCATTTACTTTTTAATCTTGAAGATAAAAAACTATGCAATAGACTTGAGATGTCTCAACAGACCCATCAGCCTGTTAAATGTTCTTTGGTAACTATCCTTCTATGATTCCCTTATTAGCTTCTTAAGATTAATTTGTAAGATATCTACTTCCTAGTACCTGATTATCTGGCCCAGAAATACAATGTCCCTTTTCTGACAGGGCTGTCTTGCCACCAGCATGTAGTATTGTTCTGTTGCTGGAAGTATTCAGATGACCTTCCATATATGAATATCTCAACTTGCATGTTCAAAAAGTGTCATGGTTGTCCAAACAAAGCAGGGAATTAAGAGACATGTCATATTTTTTTTTGTGAAACAAACCATGATAAATCTCAACTTACAGGCTCATGCCCAGGGACATGTATGAAAACATTCCTTGGGCTTTTGGGACAAGTAGCCACCTGAACTTGTATCTTTCACAGTGTACAGCAGATCTCACCTGAGTTCCACGCGAGAGTGAGTGAAATCCATGTGTATTCAGCATGCAACATATGCTACAGAAAGAAAGATTCAGACCAGTTTTACATGCTGAGTCCTTCACCAATGTAGTGAGCGGTGTTTTCAGTAGTTCTGTCTTTCAAGCTATTAATGAGAAATGTCTTTGCATTTGACAGCTGAAAATAAATTTTACACTCTTTGAATTCAAAACCTGTGGAAGTTCGGTATAGACTCTTTCTCCCCTTGATGCAAGGTTCTACAATCATGAAAAATAAGACAATGGTAGCCTACTGTGCCCTTTGGTAATCAATCAGGGTCATCCATTTTTTAGAGAAGCTATTGATTTTTCAAAAGCAGTTAATTTATCTTTAATACGTTGTACCTTCCTGGCAGATAGTACTATAAAACTGCTTTCCATGACTGAAAAAGAATCTGAGTACTTTTTTTGTAGGAGAGTGTATCCAGAAGTAGTTCACTAGCAATATGCTAAGATACATTCTGGAAGGGCATAAATAGTATTCATTTTAAGAGAGACCAGGAGACCAGGTGTTTTCATATTTTATGCTCCCAAGATCACTGCCTGTCTAGGCTATCTAGTTCAGGGAAGATCCCAAATGAGATTCAGCCTTTTTGAAGAATGACAGAATTATGACCAGATAGTTTCTTGCCATTTGCTAAGCATAACTCCTCACTCTTTTTTGGCATTCCTTGTTCTGCCCACTTTATAGCTTCTATGTTTATGAAAGATACTGTGTTTTTCTTAACCTCGGTTGAGGTACGTTTCCTTCAAACTAGAATTAATTCATTTGCTGGGCTACTTCCTGTGAGACCCTGTTCTTTGTTGTCCAGGTTTATGAAGACAGCCTTTATCTGAGGTTGACATTGAGTAAGGAGCAAGTGTACCTTGTAACTTTTCATAATCTGGTTCATTAAAGTCTGTTAAGCCTCACCCTATTTTTTCTTTTCTTTTCCAAAACCTTCTCTAATCTTGATTTCTTTTTAAAATCAATTAACAATTTTACTTAAAGTGCTGACAAAAAAAACCCTAGCCAAAACACTCAGCTTTCATAAACTAAAGCTTTATTTGTGTAAAAGCTGAACATTGTCTAGTTGAAGGTTGGAATCTGAAGCCACCTAAATTGCCTGCGGTAGTCAATTCTAGGAGATCCTCTAATAAAGGTGCCCAAGAAATCTATGTAGTTATGTATGTATGTAGTAGGAGTTATGTAGATTCTACAGAAATGTTACAGTTGTTAGGCAGCCAGTCCATAACTACTGGTATGTGCTTCTGTTAGTGAAGACACCAAGCTCTGGTGTCTGCTCTGACAGTCATTTAAAAAGAAATTAATACCTAATTCCTGAACATGAGTCACTAAACAAGTAGTGTTCCAGAAGCAGAATTAATGCACTTAACCACCCAAAGGACTGTGTAGTTTTACAATAAGTCATTCTTCAGTTTGTATTATATACACTGGAAAAGTGTATATGGAGCATAGAACTTGGGAGTTTTAGGTACCCACTCCCAATGAGCCACAACAATCCAATCTCATGCAGAAACCCTATAGACATCACTTCTCAAAGGACTAAAATAACTGATGGGAAGCAAATAGCTCTTTTGCTGTAAAGCCTGATTCTTTTAATGTTGCTTATAGCAGCAATGTGATCTTTCAAGACCCAGATTTGGTGATGGAAGTATGTAGAACATGTACATAGAGAGGCTGTGGAATCCTTATTCCTGGAGGTACTCAGAGCCTAAGTGGACAAGACTCTGAGTCAACCCAAGATAGCTTCAAAATTTGTCCCCCTTTGAGTAGGGAACTGTACAAGAGACCATCTGAGGTTTTTCATAACCTAATTTATTCTATAATTAGAAATAAAATACTCCTGTATATGAAGCAAGCTTCAGAGTCTCTTAAATAAAACATGTAAGGTTTTCCATACAGTTAGAATGTGCTAGCTTTGTGGTTTGCTGGTGTACAAACAACAGCCCTGAGATGATCCAAGACAAACAGTGAAATAAGTGTTGTGTGACAAGTTCATACCTGTGTAAAGGCTGAACTGAGATAGTTTAGGATTAGCACAACTCTATGTTGTTCTAACAGAAGGCTAATTCCTCTCAAGGAATGTCAGTTGTTAATGAAATCTGATATGTACTTCATTTTTTACCTATATTTGCTTAACTAGATGTAATGTCAGCTCTGAGGGTATTGATCTGAACTAAGACATGACTAAGCTACCTGAATGTAGCTACCAGAGCTGCTCTTCAAATAACTTGAGCCCTTAAAAGACGTTGGGATCCAGAGACTTAGGTAGTTTGAAGCTACATACAAATTAAGAGATAATCAGAAAGGTTCAATGGCTTCACATTGCTGTGGAGTTGCTAGAAGATATTCATGTGGTTATTTAAACATAGGGTTTTCTTTATTTCAGCAGCCCATTTTGTTCTGTTCATGAATCACTTTCTTAATTTGAATTCAATATGGATTTTTACCCTAAAAGATGCTCTATTTAAGTTCAGTTACCTGCATATAGTAAGCAAAGTTGAAGGTCATAAAATGTTTGACGGAGAAAAGTTACACCCAGGTTTCTGAAGTCTAGCTTACTGCCCCAGACACTTGAAATCACAAGAGGGGAAAAAAAGTCTCGCCTGTTCTACGTTTTAGAGATGACATGTGCAAAGGTAACAAAAAAAGGCGGGGGGGAAGTTGAGTACTGGTTTCTGCAGAACTCTATCAATAGACAGAATAGACTACAGCAATTACACATTCTTTTGGAGTCTCATCTTTAATTTTTAACCTTAACAGTTAGTTAATGAAATGGGTAGTAAAGATCAGGTAAAAATGAAATACTGTCTTGAAGTTCAAATTCTATTGTCACAGAAAATATGCATGAAGTCAGGGTTGGAGGTAATTGTTTTGTGATGCTGAAGTAACCAAATAAAACCCTAAAAAAATGTTATGTTGCTAAACAACTTAATTGATAGAAACTTGAGGATTAGGGTAACTAAATACCTAGTATCTAAGGCTTGGATATTTGGTCAGTTGTCTTTGAAGGACAATGAATCAATAATTCTTAAAGTCCTGATGGAAGACCTGATTTTATAATGAGGTCATTAAAAGCCTTAGCCAAAACTAAGTAAAGCATGCATAGAATAATCCCTCTCCCAGCCTTTACTTGTAGAGACTTCTCAGCAATACCCAAAGTACCAGCTTAGAATGATTGACTACTATCAACCTAAAATGTCATCACGTAGTCTGAATCACTCTGTTAAGTCATAGAATCATAGAATTATTTAGGTTGGAAAAGACCTTTAAGATCATCCAGTCCAACCATTAACCTAACACTACCAAGTCCACCACTAAACCAATTAAGGGTAGAGTAGCAATTTCATGTTTCCTAGCTTGGTGGCTGGATTAATTTTTTAATGAAAGTAAAAACCAGGAATCATTAAGGTTGGAAAGGATCTCCAAGATCATCAGTCCAACCATCAACCTAACACCACCATGTCAACTAAACCATGTCCCGAAGTGCCACATCTACCTGTTTTTTTGAACACAAGTCTTCTCACTTAAAACGTATTTCAACTGAG